GAGCAGCAGAGGCTCTGCGAGGGGCTGCAACAACAGTTGCAGGAGCGCCCGCCTCCGGCGTTGGTGGCACCGATGGTGGCCGGTGTTGACCCCGCCTCGCTCTTTAGCCTCGTGGACAGCCTGCGTGCCTCGCTCGGGGAGCTCGAGCATCGCCTGGGCTATAGCGGAGACACCGGCAGCCGTCACACCGCCCCCGCCGCCGGCGGCGGCGCGCCACGCGTAGCACGCCGCGCGAAGGCACCACCGACGCCTGAAGCGGGCGCGACGCGAGGCGGCGGAGGAGGCGGCAGCCCCCGCAGCCATCAACCGCAGCCGCTCTCGCAAGGACCGGACGGCGCGGTGCGTTTGGTGTTGCCAGCGCCAGGCGCGGGGGCCCTGCGTGCGGCCACGGTGATTTCCGGAGCGCCAAGCACAACCACGGAGCGCAGGAAGCGGGCGCGGCGGAGCACGGAGGGCACGGTGAAGCCGAAGCGACACGCAAGTGGGATGGTCGCCGCAGCCGCAGCCGCCCAGGCAGCGTCGCTCTTTAAGAATTTTACACCCGCCACCGAGAAGGAGAAGGGTTCGGTGGTGAATTTTGGCAATGAACCCATCGCCGACTACTTGGGCCTGCTAGAAAAAACGGACGCGAGCAACGTGGACGTGCTTCGGCGGGAACTGAGGAAGTTTTGTGGCGGCAACGTGGATGTTCTTGCCTCGTGCGCCGTTGAGCATTTTCTTAGCAAGTCCGTGCTGACAGCCGGCGTCGTAACCCTGTGGAAGCACACGGAGAGGGTGATGCACATTGGCCAGGATGTTTATCCTGTCTTTATGCAGCAGGCCGTGCGGAAGCTGGTGCACCTGCTGAGCCCTGACTGTGCCGCGGAGATTGACCACACGCCGCAGCTGCGGTGCCTGGCACTCGTTGTGCGGGCGGCGTGTGCCATCCAGCTGCGAGACACGGTGCAGGGCGCGGAGGTGTCGCTCTTTGTCGCCTTCTACGAGTGCACTGTGAGCGCGCTACGCAGCTGGCGCCTGGGGGGGTCGCCGCACGCACAGCACCACGTACTCGGTCCGTGGATGGTTGTGGTGCAGCACCTTTGCGGGTTTGTGGTGGACTTTCATGAGGTGGTCCGCTACTACGCCAACTCCGAGCGGGTGCTGGGCGCCCTCAGCCTCCCCGCCTCTCTCACGCGCTACACCGCGCAGGCAGTGATGGCCGCGTGCTACTTCACCTCCTCGCCACAGTCGCCCGCGGTAACGCCGGGCGCCGACGTAACGGCAGACACGCAGGCGTGGCTGCACTTCTGCGACGCCATGGACTGGAGCCACAGTGAGCTGCCGTTGGACCTGATAGGCTCGGCCGCAGCGAGAATTCTTGCCCGTTGCGAAGATGCACTTGGCCGCGGCGAGGCGCTGCTCTCCCTGCGGCTGCTGGTGCTGCAGAATGGGCTTGGCTTCCTGCAGGGGCTTACGGAGGAGCTGCGGGCTTCGAGGGGTGCAGTGGACATTGACGCCGCGTTTGCGGAGCTGTTCAGCCTCGCGGTAATCGACCTGCAGCTGGAGGATCCCCGCGACGAGCAGTGGGGCCGCGCCATGGCGTTTTTTGCCGACTACCTGAGTGCCATCTCCGTGGCGCAGGCAAAGTCCACGGCGGAGCTCCTCGCCGCCTGCAAGGAGACACACCTGCTGGTGCTGCGGGCCATGCTTCAGCTGTGCCACGGGACTGTTAACATTACCGAGGCGGGTGCTGAGCACCTGACGAACGCGCTGCAGTGGGCAAAGACGCTTCACGTGGGGCTCACGCGCTCTGCCCGGGAAAGCAAGGCCGCCGTGGCACAGATGCACCCCTTTCAGAGCACACAGCTGGGAAAACAGTTGCGCCACCTTTGCTCCCAGGAACTGTAGGGCTGCGTTAGGGCGGATTCACAAGCGACGTGCGCCCTCATACCACCAGCAACAGCAAGCAACAAATAAAAAGGGGAAGATCATTGTAGCTTCCACCTGCCTCGTGTTCCGTGGTATATATATGTGCGTGTGTCTTGCGCCCAGTACCCTGTGCGTTGGCGTTCCCTCTCTGTGTGTGTGTGTGCTGTTACGGTTGTAGTGGTGGCGGTGGGGGTATTCCGCCCGTTTGTTACCTTTTTTTTCCTCGTCTTTTTTTTTTACTTTCGATAGTGCTGGTGTTGTTTTTGCCCTGTTTTTTTTTTTGTACTTTTGCTACGGAGCGCGCGACTCCCTCCCTCCGCCTTGATGGTGTTGCTGACGGTAAAGGGCACAACTTTCCCGGACGAGTTCACCGTCGCGTGTACGGCCGCCACGGTCATAGACGCTGCGCTGGCGCAGCAGCTGTGTCACATCCAGAACGCCCGTCACCAGGTGAAGCTGCAGCTGCTCTCTGCCCGAGAGCTGCTGCAGGAGGCGCGGCGAAGGCGGCGGCTGCCGCTGTCAAGCTCCGCTGGTCCCGGCGACGACGCCCTTGCGGTGGCCTACGATCGACTCATTGAGGCGACATCGACGCGTCTGCGCGACGCGGTATCACCGGTTGCGCCGGAGGAGTTTGACGAGACTGCGGAGCAGCTGCGTTGCATGACGGAGCAGCTTTTTCCAGAGGAGTGCTGTGTGCCGGAGGGGGGCCGGGACGCGGCTGTCGACCGTCTCTACGCGCTCCACGACACCCCCGACCTGGACGAGGACCAGCGACTCGTGGTGTACCACTGCCGCGCCATCCTCGACAGGCGGTGGAAGCAGCATGAGCTGCAGTGCGAGGACCAGGCCGGGCTGTGGTTCTGCGGCAAACTGATGGAGGGCGGTACCCTCGCCAAGTACAGCGGCCGAAGCGAGAAGAGCCGGCTGACAGTGAAGGTGCATCCAAAGGACGGCCCGGCACCGAGCACGGAGCCCCGGGTGAGCTACGACGACCAGCGCGCCCTCTTTGAGCGGATGCGACAGCGACGCGAGACGTACAAAACTTTGGAGGAGTCGGAGCTGCGCGACAGGGTTGTGGCGAAGGCACGCGGCAGGGTGGTGGTGGACGCCGCCAGTTTGCCCGCGGGTGGCGCGGTCATGCTGGACACCTCGCGACTGCGGCCCATTTGCCCCCAGAAGGAGGAGCGAGACGCCGCTTGATGGCTGCAGCGGGGGCAACTACTTTCACCGCTCACGCGCAAACGCGCACGTATATATAATATATACGCCTCTGGAAGGGATGTGAGCAAAAAAAAAAAGTAAGACGAGGAGCGGCGTGGGAAGGCGCCTTACAGTGCTGCAGTGTGTAACTTTGGCCTACATCGGCCCTTCTCAGCAATCCCTCCCTTTCCTTTTGACGTCCTGCGTCCCCACACTTTTTTAAAATATCGTTTGACTATACTCCTCTTTTTGTGGGCTTTGCCCGCGAAATGAACACTAGCACCGCCAGCAACGGCAGTAGAAAAGACACCAAGTGCAGACATTAGAAAAGGGGCTTGCAAGCCACCATCTTCGTCATGACGCCTTTCAAGAGCGCCGCGCAGGAGCTGCAAGTGGCGGCACTGGCGCTGGCGGAGTCACGCGGGCTGCAGCTTGATGCGCTGCCATGTCGCAGTGACGCCCTGCTGCTCCTTGCGGCCGCGGCACTCAAATGCGTTGAGGCAGAGGCGACGAGCTCGTCCCCCGACGTTTTCGCCGCCGCACGGGAGGCGCGGCGTCTGCTGCGGCCGCATCTTCCCCGCCTGCAGCAGCCGGCTGTGGTGGAGGCGACGGGGGAACGTGCCGGCAGCAAGCGCGGGCGAGTCACGGCGGCCCCTGGCGACACGGAGGCGGGCGGCGGGGATCTTGGACAGTACTCCAACACACATGCGTTTGACGGTGACACGAAGCGGCGCGCCAAGTTCACCCGCCTCATGGGCGGCCGAAGGGGCGAGGAGTCGCACCACAATACTTTTGCCGCCGACGACAGCACCCTCAAGCGCATCAACGACGACCTCGAGGAACAGTTCAACACGGCGCTTTCCCGGCACGGCAAAAAAGGACTTGGCGCGTAGCGGCCACGGCCAGGGCAGCCGCAAGGAGGCAACGCGGGGCGCAAAAACAAAAACAAAACGGCGAGCAATAGATCCTGCCTGGCAGTGGCAGTGCAATGCAGCTGCCAAAGCTAACTATAACACTAAACGCACAGAATAATCAGTCTTCAATACTACATCTGTCGCGTGCTGTTCTGTCGCCTGGCGTGCCTGCACAACTGTTCTCGCTTGCTCCCTCTGTTTCTTCACCCCAACCATTGCGCACAGATAGATCAGCTCACTGTTTCCAGCGACTCTGCTGCCACCACTGCTACTACGACGGATGATGATGACGACGGTGCGGCGCCGTGCAGTGTGCGCCCTGGTGGTTCTCGCGCTGCTGTGCGGCTGCTGCTCCTTCGTGTGCGGGGCGACGCATGAGGCGAAAGAGAAGGCAAAAAGGGGTGCTGGGGAGGGTGGAAAAGCCGTTCTGCAAGCTGCTTTTCAGGATTCGGGCGCGTCTCTCTCGCATCGTTGGGATTTTCCTCCTGTTCCCGTTGGCGGTGGGGCCTCCGTGGGTAAACAAAGTCAACGGCCCGTACTGCAGAGTAATCCTCGCACTCCCGCGCAAGGTAATGCTGTTACTGACCCATGTTGTGCGCAGGACTGTGATGTGCGTGTGCCTGGTCGCCCTCCTTGTCTGCCGTACGCTGCGAGTTTTGCTGGCCAGCCTTACGCGGCTGGTGGAACTTCTGGCCAGACTCCGAGCGCTTACCCACCAGCACCTCATTTACATAACGTGAAGGGTGTTGGAGGTCAAACACCTTTCACCCCTACCACTACTGGTCGCTCTGGCACGGAGAACAGCATGCCCACAGCTGCAGGTCCTGCTGGTGCCGTTGGCGCTTCTGGAAAGCAGCACCCTCCCATCGCCGCTTCGTATTCAGAAACAGGAATTGCTGGTCTCTCTCTCAGCACTGAAAGGGACCCTTTACCTTCCCAGGGGCGTCATTCCCCTCCTGATGGCATTGCTTTTCCGCCTCAGCAGAATTATGGGGGGCCCGCTTTTTCGAACCTTCACGGTGGCGATGCCGAGGGTGGCGGTGGTTTCCCTGGTGCAGCGCTTGTGGGGCGGCATTTCGTTCCCCCGCGTACGATCGCCGGAAAGCCATCGGATGAAGGGGCAGCGAATCAACAGAATGCGGGTAGGACGGCTGAAGGTGAGGCCAATGCGAAGGTGGGCGAAGCAGGCGATGTGACACGCAACAGCGGCCCGGTCGCCGTCACTGGCCCCGGCAGCAACAATGAAGGTGGCCAGGCATCTGCTGCTGCTGTTGCAGGGACAGCTCTCTCGGTGCAGACGAACAGCCAGAGCTCTGCCGAGGGTGGGGCGACGAGAGAGGTGGCGGCTTCCGGCTCTCAGGAGCCAAGCAGTGCGTCGCCGTCCGGTCCAGGCACCCCCGCTGGGGCGACTCAGGAGAACAGCCGCACGGGAGCAGCGGATGCAGGAGGTGCTCACAGCGGAGGAGCAGGGAACGCGACTTCTGCCTTCGCAGCCCGCAACAACAGCCGTGGGGACCTGCTGCCGACGCGTGCCGCTGAGGATGACACTGTATGCGGGCGCCGTGTGCTGCCGACGCTGCTCCTGTTGGGGTTGTGGGTGTTTGCGGCTATGTGAGGGATGCGCGGCCTCCCAGTTCGGGAAATGTGCCTCTTTTTTTGCTGGGAATAACTTCCTCTCCGCAGAGGACGATTTGCGCCTTTGTTTTTCTTTTCTTCTTTTTTTCTTTTCTTCTTTTGTTTCCGGCCTCTTCTCTTGATTTTTGCTTCGGAGGGCTCTTCGCGGGGTAGTCTTCCCGCTTTGCTACTCGCCTCCGCTCCTTCGTTTCTTCCCGCACTTCTCCTAAGGGACGAGGGAATTATATCGCGACTGCGACCGTGCGCTTTTCCCGTCACACAGGCGGCACTGCAATCTGCCACCGTGACGCACCGATGAAGGGGGCCGAGGAGAGCAGCAGCAACACGCCGAAGTGTTCCAATAAAATATAAATGATGCGTGTGGGCATGGGGAGAAACCTTTTTAAATGAAACAACCAAGTTTTTCTCTTTTTTTCTTTTGCGAAAACATCATGAAGGTACGTTTGTTTCTTTTTTTTTTCCTTTTTTTTTTTTTAAGTTATATCCCCCGTGGCTTGCCACTTCATGGGCTGCATTAAGTCTTGTTATTCCTCTTTCTCTTTCTTTCCACCCTGCAACTCTGTTGTGTGCTTGTCTGCGTCCTCACGTGTTTTACTCTTTTTTTTTTTTTGGTTATCGGCATGCACACACACAGATCCACAGATATACACGATATATCTTTACATTGCGGTGCACGTGGATGAACCCTTCGTAGTCGATGCTAGCGGTGCCGCCTTCCTCGCTGTGTCTCTTCCCGGCTCTTCGCAGCCACGGGAGGAGGCGGCAGTAGCCACACGCAGCGCCGCTAGCATCGACTACGAAGGGTTCATCCACGTGTATGCCCTTAAATTTATATGCAGTGTATATGTGTGGCTGTGTCTGCCTACGGGTGCGCAACAGCAAGCACAATAGAAAAATATGTGAGGGCATCCAAACACACACTGCAGCAATACAGAAGGAAGGAAAAAAAAAAAGAGGAGACTACTGAGACCCCGGATGAAACCAAACCTGGAGAGTGTCAAACCACGAAAAATATGTTTAAAAGAAAAAATACCAGTCCCAACAATTAAATCCTTTAACAAGTTTCCAACGCAAAAGGAGAGCACCGTCGTGGCACATCTCCCTGCGTGCCCTCCCAAAAAGACGTGTAAATTCTGCCTGGATAAAAAAAAAAGATCCATAAGTTCCAACCGTTAAAAAATCCCCTGGCAACAAATCATTTATATTTCACTGGTACACGCAGTACCCTGGCAACATTCACATTTATTCATCTTTATTTTTCACTGGTGTGTCCGGCGTTGCACATGATGCAGAGAGCGTCAGTCATCACGTTATCTGAAGCGGTTAATGTTGGCTGTCGTTCTTGGAAACCCATAACATAAATAAGTAAGAACAAAAATGAATAAATCCATTGCTTTGCTGATACCGTGAAAAAAGTGCACCTTGCGAATCAAATAAATTTTCCACATGGCAGAAAAGTAAGCATAAAATGAAAAACAGCGAAGAGAAGGAAGTTTTCAGGAAGATGTCCATCAGTTCAAAGAACACTTGAAACGACGTATGTGCTCTCAGTAGAAGCACAAACTCCCCTCCATCGTGGTCCACTCAGCACAGAGTCACAAAGCCCCATAGCCCCAGCAGCAGCAGGAGCAGCCGAGATACATCCGCACGCGTGGAGCCGTCACCTGCACGCTGCTCAGACGCATTGGAGTCGTCAATCCTTTTGAGTTCCATGGCATCCAGTTGGCGGTTGTACAAAAAGACGTTCTTTATTGTCACACTGCTGTTTTTACCGCCACCAAAGTAAAAATGAGAGATATCATGCCTCCGTGACTTAAGGGTTGGTAGTTTGTTAGTATTCCCACAAGCACGCCGTTGACGTACACGGAGCCCTTGTTGCTGTGCAGCATGAGCGCCACTTTGTACTCCTTCCCCGGCTTCCAAGTGCTGTTGCGTATTATTCTCGTGATACCGTCGAAG